ATATATATGCGTGTACATACAACCATACGTCAATGTTATTTTATAAATTCCACTTTTATTGATCCCTGTGGATGGTTTACAACAGCGTACATAAATAGATTCATAGATAAATACATAAAATAATATATCAATGCTACTTAATAGATTCCACTTGTATTGATCTTAGTGGACAGATTTAGTTGCGATAGCTTTCATACATAGATACATAGATAAGTATAATAGGGTCTACATACATTGATACATCACTCCACAAGTTCACACAAATACAGTCCACATGCTATTGCTGGTCGCCACAGTGCAGCTCCCTATTTTGAGCTAGGTTAATCGTGCCTTGCTCAATGACGTACCGTAGAGACCACCCACCGCTTGACATTATTGTATGCCAGAACTCACTAACAACCACTCACCCACAAAGAGTTTAACTCTTAGAATACGGAAGGCTATTCCACATTTTTTTAAAGCAATCAATTTTGACATCCAATTTTTTAGCTTCACAAACATCCCTATAACTTCGTTCCTATTAATTTGATATATTTGTTTTTAATTGAAATAAAAAGCCGAACTGAGTAGAAATGAAACTCCCATAAAAAAAGATATAATTTCTTTTATAAAATGTACACCAGCGTCTGTGATATAGTGGTGAGGTGCATCGTGATCGAACACAGTTCAATTTCCCCATGTGGGTGCAATTTTTCCTCAAGTACCTTAATCTGTCTGATGGGACATTAAGTCCCCTTATCAGTCCAGATTGGCTCCTAAATTATCTAAGCTTATAATATTGCGTCGATGAAAGCATAAAAATACCTGCATTATTATTCTTTAAAATGAATTTTCAATGAATCCATGGTCTACCCCATAGGTCCAATACTCCATTCACCACAGGATGGTCATAAAACCGGGTGTGGTGTTGCAACAGTTGGGCTCTCCGCTGTCCCTATTGGGAGGGTTTTTTCTTCATCGAGTAACTCCATCTGCCTTCTGAAAAGTTGTAGTACCCTACGCAGCTTCAATTGGCTCTGGCATGCAGGTCGAAGCAGCCCGCCTCCTAAATGGACATAGAACACTTACATTAACCAATACGGTCATATAACGGCAGGATGGAATCTCCGTCACCGACAGGACCTTGTCACGTGAATGGAGAGCCCTCTTACAAATCCCACTAAAAACGGAGTACACTTATTTAAATGCGCCTTTTCGGTCTTAAGCATGCCTCAATATAGTTACAGGTAATACGAGCTGAAGTAAATCTATCCGTCACTTTAACTGAAAAAAAAACATACCGAGAAGAGTGATAGAACAATAAATGAAAGAAGAAACAAATGTAAGGATAGCCCGACCTGTGATATGATTAAAACTAAACACACACATACGCACGCGCGCGCAAGCACACACACACACACACACACACACACACACACACACACCGTGGCCTCCTGGTTTCTAAGAGGCAACGCACATCTGCCCCAATTCAC